AGAAAAAAAAAAAACCCAAACACAATAATCAACCAAACAAAAACCCCAAGTTTATATCTTCAAAATATTTAAAACACAGCTTTACTCACTGATTTGGAACTATCTGATTTCCAGGGTAATTTTAACCCACACTACCACTGTTTAAGCACCCCCTCCCCGTAGATGCCACATCTCCTCTTTCAGCATACTTTATGAAAGACTGCAGCACTCGAATTTCAGATATGTTCTAAGTTGTACCTGAGCTCCACAATAAGCACAAGTTTCTTTATAACTTAATAATTAGGCTAAAAAAAAGACCTCTTTAGGTTCTCAGAAGAATATAGGCAGGAAAACATGTTGTTCTGTTCGATATTTTTGTAAATCTCTGTTAATCTTACACTTATTTTTATAGAGAAATACTGTGTGAATTTCAAAGATACACTGTTCATATATTCAACATCAACTGTCATTGCAATCTTACTGAAGGTGATCCAATAACTACCTTTATTTTGCAATGAATAATGAAAAAGTACCTGGTATCTTCTCTCTGGAATGTAAGGATATTACTTTATTTGCCATCAAGAGAGATCCACTAAGAGCTGCAAACTGTCCTAAAGTTATCTAGACTCTCACTTTTTCTGTTGGTTATCCTCTCCTCCCTTGCCCAACATCTCCTAGGAAAGAATCTAGAACTATTTACAATGATTCCTAGGAAAAAAATCTAGAACAATTTACAGTGACAAGCTTACAGGTAACCCCTTGAGAGCCCCAGTGACATTGCTCCAAACATTCCTGCCTTTCTGCTGTCTGTTCCCACTACCCAGAATGCATTCCTCTAAGTCCCAGCATACCTCCATACCTTATGGAGTTAATGGATTTATTTAAAAACAATTATAAAACTAATATCCCAGACAATAAAGAGATAAACAGAACATGTCTTTACATGCAATGGGTTCATGGTTTTATGGACAAGATGGTTTCTAAAACACAATGACATCCATTTTAGGACTATGCATGAGAGAGAAATGTATAGTGCTCTGAGGAGGAAGAGTCCAGATCTTCTTAAAGTAGTCAGGAAAGGTTTCTATGAGGTACTGACATGTGAACTCAGGCTTGGGTCAGGTAAGAATTCTTTGGTTGTGAAGAAAAACGGGAGAGCCAGACAAATCCCACAAAGACTCTCCACCTTCATCGACACTTGGGAGTGTAACAGTAGTTCATCAGTACAGGGGAGTACACTCTCAAATTGCTCATGACAGGCAGTAGAGCCTAGAGGGTAATAATGACCTGAGTTCCAATCCTAGTGCCATCATTTTCAAGCTGTCTGACACTGAACAAGTTTGCTTACCTTTCTGAATTTAATTCTTTGTATCTGTGAAATGGAGAGACAATAAAGACCTTGCAAGGCCACTGTGGGATTAAATAATATTTAGCATTTATGAAGGGCTTTACAATCCCACAAGAGTTAATACATATACAGGTTTATTGTCATACAGATCACAATTTTAAACAGCTTTCCTGTTGCTCTCAATTTACCTGCTTTATTTTAATTTACTATCTATGGCTTGACTCTTTCACAAGAACGTAAACTCCATAAAGGGAGGGACGTGGCTTTGTGTTCTAGTAAACTCCAGTATCTAGAATTCTGTGCCTGGCATGCTGCAGGCACTCAAGAACTACCTGTTGGCTCGATTAATGTAAAAGTGAGGTCTCATCAATCCCTTAGGGCTTGTTAGGGGTTAAATGAGCTATCGTATGACAGAAAAACAAGTAATTGTAGCTGGCATATAGTTGATTGCAGCCTCACCCTACTATCCTAGACACTGAACAGGCTCACTGTGGAGAAGCACATGCAGAATATCACAAGGATCCAGGAGCAGTAGGGCCTCTGCCATGGTGTGTCAGCACTACATCCCACATAGTACAGTGTTTCCAGGTAGGCAGGTAAGAAATAACCCTGGGATTTAGTAATATTACTGTTTTTCTAGGTATTGGCTTAACAAAGATGTCCCTAGAAATGTCAATTACCAGCTTTGGGGCTAAATGCAATGCACTGGTTCCTGGCCAGCTAGGCTGGTCAGTTTTTACATTTTATAGTTTTTGTGGAAGATAGAAACATAACACACCATTGAATGTCAGGATGATGGAAGGAAAGAAGGAAGGGAGAAAGGAAGGGAGGGAGGGCCGGAATACAAGAAAAGAAATATGCCACACTTGTTTGGTTTCCACGTAAGTGAGCAAGTAGTAGGTAGAATGACTAAGGACAAACGAGAGACTGAACAATTAATGCTATGTCATTAAATATCCACTGGACACCAATTATTCTTTGCTTGGATTTTAAATCACCTAAGTGACAGTCATATATAGAAGTATTACTAACTCTGAAAGTGAAAATATTTTTACATGTAATGATGAAAAGAGCAAGTCTGGATGGAATAGCTCAAGCAGAACAACAGAGATAAGGAGGTTGGGAGAGGCACAGCCACCAACTTTTTTTGGCTAAAGAACAATGTAGATGAGGAGGCGAGGGAGGACTGGAAAGGTGGGTGGTGGGCAGATAATGAAAGGTCTTCGAGGGCTAAGCTGAGGAGCCCAAACTTCATCTGATGGATACTAAATTATTACTAAAAGTTTCTGACCAGAGAACTGCCTATTTAAATCAACATGGTAGCAATCTAAGAACTAACATGGAGAAGGTACTGAAGTATGAACTCCTAGTTAAGGAATACCTAGGAAGAAACAATGAAAGCAGGATCACAAGTAATTCAGGTGGGTGTTAAAGCCAGACATTAGAGTTTGAATAATGACTCCAGATTTTAGCAACTGTGTAACCTTGGGCAAATTATTTAACCTCTCTGGGACATAGTCTCCTCAGCTATACAATAAGAAAAACTATCTTATAGATTTGTTGTAAGGACTAATGAGATGATACATATACAAGAACACAGAACATAAACCTGAGCCTGGAACACAGTATCTACAAAAGTACTCATAAAATGCCAGCTAACTTTATTCTTAATGGGGTTCTGAAATAGGATGAAAACACTGAGATCATAAAGTGGGGGTTGGCTGGAAGAAGTAAAATCCAAAAGTTTGGTGGTGACCAGCTGCTAAAAGACACATCTGAGGTTTAAACCTTGAAAGGAGAGTATTGATTAAAAGAGATTAGTAAAATAGGAGGGAAAAGATTTGAAGGTACTGCTGGGGCCTATTTTATTACATTTCATTACTTTGTTACCCAAAGACAGATGCCAGAAATAGTCCTTATTAACATAATGGGACATTTCCCTTCTCTCTTGATCAAGTCTGGGGAGACTGTGGAGACAGTGTGTGGCAAGCACCAAAAGGGAAGTCCCCAGGGCTCATCCCAAAAGCTGCTTTACAGTTTGGCAAGAAGATGGACCAAAGGGCCTGTGAGTTATTCAAAGCCCTGCTCAAATCTCACCTACTCTACAGAACATCCTGCAGAACATCCTTTGACGCCCAGCAGCTGCTCCCTCCTATGACTGTAGCATGTGTGGTGGTCTCTCTCTCTCCAACTAGATTACAAACTCCATGAGGGCCTGGCAAGTTCGCCAACTCTCTGTACCCACCACAGACTCAACAAATGCAAACACTGAGTGTTGTTTAGTGCCCCAGTGTCACTACTGGAAACTAGGGCTACTCCATGAAGTCACAACTAGGCTTATAAGGATGATTAACTGTTACCTGAGAACATACTGGCAACCCCGAAGCTGTCCCTAAGACCAGCTCTAGCACTCCAACCTTCTACTTAATGAGGAAGTGAGCAATGATTTCTCAAGCAGTAGGACTTCAGCAGTATCACACATCATTCACCTTTATTGAGTATCTTTGCCAAGTGTGCAAATACAAGCAAGAATACTTCTTGAGGAAGGGCTTATGGGACATTTGTGCACAATTAAAAAGAAAAACAAACAAGGAAGCCAGGCCCAGTGGCTCACACCTATAATTCCAGCACTTTGGGAGGCCAAGGCAGGTGCATCATCTGAGATCAGGAGTTTGAGACCAGCCTGGCCAATATGGTGAAACCCTGTGTCTACTAAAAATACAAAAGTTAGCAGGGTGTGGTGGTGGGTGCCTGTAATCCCAGTTACTTGGGAGGCTGAGGCAGGGGAATTGCTTGAACCTGGGAGGCGGAGGTTGCAGTGAGCTGAGATCGCGTCACTGCACTCCAGCCTGGGCGACAGAGTGAGACTCTGTCTCAAAAAAAACTGATTCAAAATAAACAGGAATTAGGTCTTTTCTAAGTGAGATGCTAAAGTTAAAAGGAAACTATTATTTCAGAAATGTAACATATATGTATGCACATACATAAGAACAAATTATATATGTGCGTATACGGTTATGTATGTATATATGTGCATATACAGACGTATATATTTGCATATGTATTTTAAGATATCAAATGGGCCCACAGAAGATGCTTTCTCATCCTCCCCCTTTCCTTTATTTCCCACATTTTTAAATGGGGAAAAAGGCATATCTATTTTGAAACATACCAAGGAAAGTACAACACAATCGCACCAGCAAATAGTTAAGATAATGCTCATGCCAGTATCTTAACTATATTTTTAAAAAAGCAATATTCAAACAGCATATTAATTGTGAAATACAAAAATTGTTTTAAAATATCTCATATTTCCTGAACTTCAAAAAATAAATATGCGAAGTATATTCTACTGAATTGCAAAGATAAATTATAATGGCAACTTCATTCTGGATATGATTAACATGATATTATTAAAACCCAAAAATAATTTGGAATTCTATATAACTTGCTGAGTGATCTGGTATTTTACCTATGTCCCATCTAAAAAAATAAAATCTATGAGCCATACTGAAAACTATTTAATGATGGTAAAATTATGCAAATTTAGATAGCCAGAATGCTTATTTTCATAAGCTATTCTAGAATGAAGCAATTATACCAAAAATAGACATCTATGATCATCTTACCCCATGACAGTGCTTTTCGAGGTCTGCTACCTAGAGCCCCTTACCTGACACAGAGACGGCGTGTGTCCGCATGCCTTGCTTTTCGCTGTTGGCCAACCTGTGACAGACAAGAGCAAAGCTGTAAGCCCTGCAATTTCCCCAGGACCCCACCACTCGGCCTCATCAAGTAGGGAACTGCCTTGGATGAGGAAGACAAAATTTAGACAGGTGATTTCTTTAAAAATTGGATTCTATTAAAATAGCCAGGCTGCTTTAATGCTTTAAAGATCAGAAATTAAAATACACAACTGAAGGAATGTTGAACTGTTGTGAGAAAGATACTCTTGACAATAATTTAAAACAATGCAATACAATTTAATCTGGTATGAATAGGTTAAATAAAAATGTAAATGTAAATGCTACACAGTAAAGGATTGCCCCAAAGTTATAAGAGAAAAACCATACACCTGGAAGTGAATTTTGCTCTCTAAAACATAACATGAAATACTATAGTATGACTGGTCCTTCTTAAACTTACGGCATGTAAAAAATTATCAAGAAATATATTAATATGTACTATTACTTACATACTTAAAAAAGTAATCTCACTGTATCTTGCTACTTGCTTCATGAAATGGTTTAATGCTAGTTTTACATATTTACCCACAAAAAATAAAATTTTGGCCAAAAGTCTTTCTGCCATTTAAAAAATGCAAGTACAGTTAGTAAAACACAAAACACAGGGAAAAAAGGAACCACACAGTCTTTAGATGTCAAAGTTACCTGGTCTTTTTATAAAAGCAAACCTTTTCCAGATGAAATACTGACACTTAAAACAATATAGGTTGAATATCTCTTATTCAAAATGCTTGGAACTAGATAGAGTGTTTCAAATTTCAGATGTTTTGGATTTTGGAATGTCTGCATATACATAATGAGGAACCTAGGGGATAGGACCCAAGTCTAAACATGAAATCTGTTTATGTTTCATATACACCTTATACATGTAACCTGAAAGTAATTCCATACAATATTTTAAATAACTTTGTGCACAAAACAAAGATTTGACTGCAACCTGTTACACATGAGGTCAGGTGAGGAAGTTTCGACTTGCTGCAACATGTTGGTCTCAAAAAGTTTCAAATTTTGGAGCATTTTGAACTTTGAAGTTCCAGATTAGAAATGCTCAACTTGTACATCGTTTTGAAGCACTATAACTATTTAATGTGAAACTGTATAATCGCTATAATAATCACGGCAAACAGCCATAGACTTGTGTTCGTTTTACAGAATTCTCCAAATATTTGAAATTTTATATCTTTAGTATAAAAATTTAATCAAAATTGTTTTCTAACAACTCATTACTTTCTCTTCCATTGCAGCTACATGATTTATCACAACTTACCTTTGAACTATATTGGGCAGTCAGAGGACACACATTTTAAATCAACAAATTACATCATTTCCTTCCTTGTTCTGTTGCCAAAACACTGGGGTTTTCCTTTGTCCGCATCACAATCATGTATGCTGTCGCTAAGCAACTTTATCACGACAGCTTGGATTTCAGCACTTATCTGATCAATAGCAATAATGGTGTCCTGATGCTTTAAGATTTGTGGAAATTCCACTCTTGTAAAGTTTGCTTCATTTATTTAGTTTCCTGTATCTGTTAACACTTCTAATGTACTACCTTCCTCACTCACTTTCATACCTATGTTCATGATTCCTCTATATGTGTGTGTGTCTGTAAGAAATGGGGTGGAGTTTTATGAAGTCACCCAGACTAAAATGTGGTTGCTATTCACAGGCATGATCACAGTACACCACAGCCTCAAATTCCCGGGCTTCAGTGATCCTCCTGCCTCAGCCTCAGAACCACAGGAACACACCACATTGACCAGCTTTGATTTTAATCCCAAAATTATCCCTTAACTTCCCACAACTAAAGGTACACTAAATAAACATTAGTTCCTGCCCTGGTATGACCCCAAATGAACCTCTATCAGACACTGCTGATGCTGTAGAGTGCACTGTCCAAAGCTAGAGGTGCACCAGCCACTTGCAGACCCTGCCTGCGCGAGGCCCATAGTACTGCATATGACCTTGGCTGTCAGCAACTTGCCAGGTTGCCCGGGGAGGGCAGACAGGTTAAAAGGCCATGTTTAGGACTCTGGCAATTAATAACTAGAAACGATCATAGGAAAACATGATGGGGATGCTCTCCTGGCTTGTGGGTGGGTCAATGAGGTTTCTACAGGAAGTGATGTAGAATGAGACTTAGAAGATGAGTAGGGCTTAGCAAGGAAAAGCGGGTTGGAAGAAGAGTGAATCATGCAAAGACAAAATACTGGCAAAGACCTTCAGGGAAAAGAAAGGATGTTTGCTCCTGGAATTAAAAAAAAAGTTCAGTGTACCTGAGGAATAGTATGAGTAGTAACAAAAACCAAGGCTAAAGTGAGCAGGGAACAATCACACGGGCTCCTGAAAGCTAGGTTAAGAATACTGCAAAGTATCCTAAGAGCAAGAGTAGGTCATCTAAGATATTTAATTAGGAAAGCTTCCTCAAGCTGTAGCACAGAGCACGGATAGGCTAAGGAGCAACACTGGACAGAGACTGATTTAGCAGAAGTACACAGAAAAGAGTTAATGTAGCAGGACTGTGACTGACTTTACACGATTGTCCCTTGCCTGGTATCTGGGAACTCGGATTTTCACGGAGTTGCCACCATCCCCTGACAGGTATGGTACACTATGCCTAAAATGTTTGTACAAAAAATGTGGTTTATGCTGAACTCTTGCTTTCCCTCTGGGAGTCTGGAGTTTGGATGCATGCCAGGCAGAGTGTGCACGTATAAAGAACCCCCAGTAAAAACCCTGGGCACCAAGTCTCTATCGAGCTTTCTCAGTAGGCAACATTTCACACAGGTCGTCATAATCCATTGCTGGGGAATTCAGAGTGTCCTTTGGCCTCCATTGGGAAGGGACCCTTGGAAGCTTGTGTCTGGTTTTCCCTGGACTTCACCCCATGCGCCTTCATCCTTTGCTGATTCTGCTTTGTATCTATCTGCTGTAATACATCATAGCTGAGTCTTGTGACTCCTAGATCTTGGGGACCCCCAACACAGGAGTGTACTTGGGTAGCCCAGATAGCTAAACACAGGGGAGACACAGCGGGAAGGTGGTGAAGCAGATGGATCCATTTAGAACATGGAACTGGAGGAAATAGTAATGGACTGGCTACGGAGAACAAGGAGAGGGACAGAACAAAGCTCAGGCCTTACCCTCTCTATTCCAGTGGTCTCTTAGGCTCACTGTTCCTCTTTAGTGTCTTGGAAAGTGCAAACATCTCTGCAAGCACTTACCACACAGCTGTAACTGTGTGTTTACCTGTGTATCTGATTGCCTAGATTTTAGCACTCATATCTTAGTCCCCAGTTCCTAGCAAATTGGCTGAGAATATAAAATTATATAAGTTATTTTGGTATTACTATTTGATTCTTTTAATTTTGTAGATCAACACACCTACTATGAAATTCAGGAAATAAACAAGAAAATTAACATAAATCATTTCTTTTAATTTTCATACTTGTAAAATAGCCAGAATGCCACATATTTTCAGGTTCTTGTAAAGATTAGCAATAACATATGAAGCAAATGTTTAACAACAGGCTCTCGACATTATGATTATTCTTTAGCTCTCCCATAGAACTTAAAGGAAAAATTGAAACTTTTTGATTAAGCCTAAATACTTAATAAAATTTAAAACTGACTTGATTTCTTTCTAGAATTGTTTCCTAGTTCCTTGATCATGTATATTGAATTTAATTTTTTTAGGAAAATGAATAAAGCATGGAAATTTCCTTAAACTTCCCAACAAAACAAAATAACAGTAAAAAAAAGCAGTACTTACTTTGGTATTGATGGCAAAGCCCGTTCACCTTCTGCGGGGAAAAAGACAAGAGATGTATAAGGCTCTTTTCACTCCTTTTGAAAAGATGGTGCCTAGATTCAGGGAAGAAGGATGAGGCCTATGTTGGTATTCCAGCAATGACCCTTTAAAGAAAGTTGCTACACTGTCTACCTTAGGTTCTCATGGTTTTATTTTCAATATTTATAACAAACATACACTGACTATTAGATACAATTGTTTAAAGGGTACTTGTTGCGGGAAGTCAGGGACCCCGAACGGAGGGACCAGCTGAAGCCGCGGCAGAAGAACATAAATTGTGAAGATTTCACGGACATTTATTAGTTCCCCAAATTAATACTTTTATAATTTCTTATGCCTGTATTTACTGCAGTCTCTGAACATAAATTGTGAAGATTTTGTGGACACTTATCACTTCCCCAATCAATACCCTTATGATTTCCTATGCCTATCTTTACTTTAATCTCTTAATCCCTTCAGTCATCTTCTTCGTAAGCTGAGGAGGATGAATGTAGCCTCAGGACCCTGTGAGGATTGTGTCAACTGCACAAATTGTTTGTAGAGCATGTGCGTTTGAACAATATGAAATCTGGGCATCTTAAAAAAAGAACAGGTTAACAGCGATGTTCAGGGAACAAGAGAGGTAACTTTGAACTGGCCGGAACACAGCCATATTTCTCCTCTTTCAAAAGCAAATAGGAGAAATATCGCTGAATTCTTTTTCTCAGCAAGGAACATCCCTGAGAAACAGAATGCGCCCTGAGGGTAGGCCTATGAACGACCCCCTAAAGGCGTGCCATCTTTTATGGTCGAAGCTAAAGGGATGAAATAAGCCCCCATCTCCTGTAGCTGAAGGGATGAAACAAGCCCCGGTCTCCTGTACCACTCCCAGGCTTATTAGGACAAGGAAAATTCCCACCTAATAAATTTTGGTCAGGCAGGTTGTCTGCTCTCAAACCCTGTTTCCTGATAAGAGAAACTATTCCAATCAATAGAAAAAGAGGGAATCCTCCCTAACTCATTTTATGAGGCCAACATCATCCTGATACCAAAGCCTGGCAGAGACACAACAAAAAAAGAGAATTTTAGACCAATATCCCTGATGAACATCGATGCAAAAATCCTCAATAAAATACTGGCAAACTGGATCCAGCAGCACATCAAAAAGCTTATCCACCATGATCAAGTGGGCTTCATCCCTGGGACGCAAGGCTGGTTCAACATACGCAAATCAATAAACGTAATCCAGCATATAAACAGAACCAAAGACAAAAACCACATGATTATCTCAATAGATGCAGAAAAGGCCTTTGACAAAATTCAACAGCCCTTCATGCTAAAAACGCTCAATAAATTCGGTATTGATGGAACGTATCTCAAAATCATAAGAGCTATTTATGACAAACCCACAGCCAATATCATACTGAATGGGCAAAAACTGGAAGCATTCCCTTTGAAAACTGGCACAAGACAGGGATGCCCTCTCTCACCACTCCTATTCAACATAGTGTTGGAAGTTCTGGCTAGGGCAATCAGGCAAGAGAAAGAAATAAAGAGTATTCAGTTAGGAAAAGAAGTCGTCAAATTGTCCCTGTTTGCAGATGACATGATTGTATATTTAGAAAACCCCATTGTCTCAGCCCAAAATCTCCTTAAGCTGATAAGAAACTTCAGCAGGATACAAAATAAATGTGCAAAAAGTCTCAGGATACAAAATAAATGTGCAAAAATCACAAGCATTCTTATACACCAGTAACAGACAGAGAGCCAAATCATGAATGAACTTCCATTCACAATTGCTTCAAAGAGAATAAAATGCCAAGGAATCCAACTTACAAGGGATGTGAAGGACCTCTTCAAGGAGAACTACAAACCACTGCTCAGTGAAATAAAAGAGGACACAAACAAATGGAAGAACATACCATGCTCATGGATAGGAAGAATCAATATCGTGAAAATGGCCATACTGCCCAAGGTAATTTATAGATTCAATGCCATCCCCATCAAGCTACCAATGAGTTTCTTCACAGAATTGGAAAAAACTGCTTTAAAGTTCATATGGAAGCAAAAAAGAGCCCGCATTGCCAAGACAATCCTAAGTCAAAAGAACAAAGCTGGAGGTATCACACTACCTGACTTCAAACTATGCTACAAGGCTACAGTAACCAAAACAGCATGGTACTAGTACCAAAACAGAGATATAGACCAATGGAACAGAACAGAGCCCTCAGAAATAATACCACACATCTACAGCCACCTGATCTTTGACAAACCTGACAAAAACAAGAAATGGGGAAAGGATTCCCTATTTAATAAATGGTGCTGGGAAAATTGGCTAGCCATAAGTAGAAAGTTGAAACTGGATCCTTTCCTTACTCCTTATATGAAAATTAATTCAAGACAGATTAGAGATTTAAATGTTAGACCTAATACCATAAAAACCCTAGAAGAAAACCTAGGTAATATCATTCAGGACACAGGCATGGGCAAGGACTTCATGTCTAAAACACCAAAAGCAATGGCAACAAAAGCCAAAATTGACAAACAGGATCTAATTAAACTAAAGAGCTTCTGCACAGCAAAAGAAACTACCATCAGAGCAAACAGGCAACTACAGAATGGGAGAAAATTTTTGCAATCTACTCATCTGACAAAGGGCTAATATCTAGAACCTACAAAGAACTCAAACAAATTTACAAGAAAAAAACAAACAACCCCATCAAAAAGTGGGCAAAGGATATGAACAGACATTTCTCAAAAGAAGACATTCATACAGCCAACAGACACATGAAAAAATGCTCATCATCACTGGCCATCAGAGAAATGCCAATCAAAACCACAATGAGATACCATCTCACACCAGTTAGAATGGCAATCATTAAACAGGAAACAACAGGTGCTGGAGAGGATGTGGAGAAATAGGAACACTTTTACACTGTTGGTGGGATTGTAAACTAGTTCAACCATTGTGGAAAACAGTATGGCGATTCCTCAAGGATCTAGAACTAGAAGTACCATATGACCCAGCCATCCCATTACTGGGTATATACCCAAAGGATTATAAATCATGCTGCTATAAAGACACATGCATACGTATGTTTATTGTGGCACTATTCACAATAGCAAAGACTTGGAATCAACCCAAATGTCCATCAGTGACAGACTGGATTAAGAAAACGTGCACATATACACCATGGAATACTCTGCAGCCATAAAAAAGGATGAATTTGTGTCCTTTGTAGGGACATGGATGTAGCTGGAAACCATCATTCTCAGCAAACTATCCCAAGAACAGAAAACCAAACACCGCATGTTGTCACTCATAGGTGGGAACTGAACAATGAGATCACTTGGACTCGGGAAGGGAAACATCACACACCGGGGCCTATCACGGGGAGGGGGGAGGGGGGAGGGATGGCATTGGGAGTTATATCTGATGTAAATGACGAGTTGATGGGTGCAGCACACCAACATGGCACAAGTATACATATGTAACAAACCTGCATGTTATGCACATGTACCCTAGAACTTAAAGTATAATAATAATTAAAAAAAAAGATGTTATCAATGACATTGTGTGCCCGAAACTTCATTAGCAATTTTAATTTCGCCCCATCCTGTGGTCCTGTGATCTCGCCCTGCCTCCATTTGCTTTGTGATATTTTATTACCTTGTGAAGTATGTGATCTCTGTGACCCACATCCTATTCGTGCACTCCCTCCCCTTTTGAAAATCGCTAATAAAAAGTTGCTGGTTTTATGCTCAGGGAACATCACAGAATCTGCCGACATGTGACATCCAGCTTTAAATTTCTCTCTCTTGTGCTCTTTCCCTTTATTTCTCAAACTAGCCAAGACACTTAGGAAATAGAAAAGAACCCAGGTTAACCATCGGGAGTGGGTTCTCCCGATACATACGGCCTAATCCTAATAAAGAACTAAGATGCTAAGTTGGTAAAAGACTTCGTTCGCAGGAAACTAAAAGATGAAGGGTTTCTTAAGATTAGTCAACACTCCTTGTCAAAGGACCAGGCATTTTGCATTTTGATAAAACTACTCACTAGTAACAACAGACAAACCTGTGCAGGAAGCACAGAGAAACAGAAGGAAAACAATTCCACAGGTGTGTGTGGCTGCCAATGGAATGAATGTATAAAAGAAGTCAAGTCTCGGAGCTGTCACCCAAAGGAGCCGTGCACGTGGCTGGCTGGAAGGTGAGCCAGGCAGCTATCTACAGAGTTCAGGGTGAGCTCCCTTTTTGCTGAGCAGGACACAGTGACTGGCTCATGCTGGCCTGACCACAGTGAAGCTGAGGACTTTGTTCAATGGTGAGGGAGACTCTTTCTTTCCTGCAGCCTTAATTTGGCAAACCAGGAAACATGGAGCCCTCCCTGGTTTAACCTCTTTAATTTGAATTAATGTAACAGCCCCCTAACCGGTCCTCTCTTCCAATCCATCTGAGCTAAATGATTTCAGAATAAACTTCCCAAATTACAAATTCATCAACCAAGCAAGTTATTATGCTTAACATTTTAGTGTCTCTCAAAAACTTTCAGGATGAGATTTAAACACCCCAGCTTAATTTACGAGGCACTGCTTCACTTCTCTCAGCACACAAACATTGCTCTGCCTGTCATCTTTGCCTTGTGTCTGTAGAGTGGCATGGGAGGCTGAGGAGGCACCCACCTACCACTCACCACTCTCGTGCCCTTCTAGGCAGCTCCTTGGTGACACCTCTTGTGTAGTCACACTTGCTGTCCACAGTTCCTCTCCTTGCATTTGCCCTTGAATTCATTCTAATCAGTTCCCTCCACCCCCATACACGGAAAATACTCTTTCAGCATCTCCAATGACATCTGCCTTGCTAAATCCAATTGTTCACTTACAGTTAGCAATTAACACAGCTCATCACTCTGTCCTTCTGAGAGCTTCCCACCCTGGGCCTCCTGAACCTTGTACTATATTCTCATGGTTTTCTTCTGTCCTCTCAGGGCACCTCTTCTTCGTCTTCTTT